ATTTTGTTTGAAAACACGGAGGATAATGTCTTTAACTGTTTATCCTACAATAACGCACATCCGCCACCATCAAGGGTAGAGCAACAAAGCCTGATTATTTTGTAGTAGAAATGTTGTATTCGTCCAGAATAAGATTTAGGGAAATTGCTTCATGCATATAGTGCAAACCTTAGCTAATATCGGTTACAATCAGATTCTGCTAAGCTCAAAGGCATTGAGCTAACGATTGGACTTTTTAAAAACTTCTTCAGTACCATTTCGGATTCTAAGCACGAATACTCGGTTTGTTTGCAATTTTGACTCAAAAGTACAGACTTTTTTGCACACTAGCAAAAGCCGCATCTAAACATGTCCTAATGCCGCTTTCTTCGCACTGCCAGTAAGAGAGACCAGACACGACCTTGCGTAAGAGAAATGTTTGGCGCATGCTGAATACGAAGAAAGGAGCTTAGATAACCGTGATATTTGGGTGCAGCTGACGCAGTGTCTGCAAAAGACATTCCTACGGTAGTGCGTTCGTTACGCGATCATCCCACTGATACGTCACTACGAATAGCTCTGTCATCAGCGGACATTCTTGACGTATTGTTGAAGAGCGAAGTACAAATGAATAAAACATCCCATAAGCATGTCTGCCGGCTAGCTGATAACCTGAAGATGAATATTTGAGTACTAAGGAGTTAGAGTAATTATATGACAGAATATCACAGGATTCTTAAAGGTCGATAATTTGCCGCAGTCCTTAGAAATCCTCCTAAGTACGGAAGAACACTTGGTGGAGTTTGGAAAGTCTGCTGGTACCTAACATGACAGCTAGCAGCAAAATGACAACTAAGATCCTTGTTTCAAAAGAAAACTTAGGTTTGCTACAGTTTGTCAAACTTAGGTTTGCCACAGTGTCGTAGTCGAAGCCAGCAGGCCAGAAAACTTCTAGAAGTTTTTATCTTAGTTCGCTAAGTATTCACACTGAACTTCTATTCATAATAATCCAGCATGTTTCATTCTCGCGTGCGCATTCCAGCAACGGAAGGTTGACCCCTAGGAGGATGCGCTCAC